AGGCGATATCGCAGCTGAGAGCTGAAGACAGCAGTTAACCCGGCAAGGATCAGAAGGTGCGCCCTGCCGATGTGGTTGGAGCAGGCGCACAGGGCAAGCGCGAAGGGGGCGTCTGGAGAGAGCGGCAGCCACCAGATCACAAGGCACTAAACCAGGGGCGAGTTCGAACTGGAAGCCAAGAGCAGGAGCCCTCTGACCGGCTTCAAGTCCTGTGTGCCCGGCTCAGATCTGCGCTTGGGAAGGATCCCTGTGGTTGCGGCATGCAAAATGGTAAAATGGGACAGGGTGGAGGCAGGGACATCAGGGAGGGGCTGCGACAGTGACTTAAGTGAGAGATGATAAAGCCCGCAGGCAAGTGTCAGTGGGAGGGAGACCAAAGCACCAGACTTGAGAGACGTACAGGAGAATTGAAAGACTTGGCGATTAACTGGATTTACGGGGGGGGGGGGCGCCAGGGGAGGGGAGAGCACTCTTGCCGTCCGTCCAACATGATGTCCGTCACCCCAGACAGGTAGATGACTAACCGTTTGCACCAAATGGAGGATGAGTGTGTTTTCTGGGCTCGTGTGCAGGCAGAGACCAGCGTGGTAGAATGAAATCTGTCCTCTGTTTGCACTGAATTCTCACTCTGCGTGTGCTGGTCCTGTGAGCCCTGGGTGGTCACTGATCTTGTCCCACTGTCATCTGCACGATGAGGGCAATACCTGTTTTCCAGATTTGCTGTGAGGATTAAATAAAACCATGCACGTAGACATCCAGGTGGTGCCTGGACCAGGCTAAGTGCTTGGCAAGAGATTGTTCAAATCTGAGTTCTCAGGAGCCCCCAGACTAGAGGTGGAACCCCAAGGAAGGGCGTCCCCCTGGCTGAAAGCTGGGGACACAGGAGAATAATCTGGAAAGGGGGGTCGGTATATGGGGGGTGGTAGGAAGCTGTGGAATGGAGATGTGCGGGCTCGGGGGGGGGCTCTGTTTTGCTCTGGAATGGCCCAGAAGCAGCATTCAAGACTCCACAGAAACAAGAGGGAAGTCAGATTAAATGACCGTCACTTTGGACACAGAAATATTGGCATTGCAATGGTCCCCTCTAATGCATTCAGCGAAGAGGAGGAGGCTATTGATTGAGCCATCTCGTTTTTGCTGAGTTTAGTGACGGCTGTGGAGATGGACTGCCGTGCCTCCTTAAGCTAACAGAAAGCAGAGCGCCACGCCACAGGGCCTGCTGCAGTGTCCCTTCGGTGGCCCCACACGCTGCCTGGCGGCGAGAGCCAGCTGGGGCAAACCGTGGGCGCTGCCCGCTTTCCCTGGGTGTCCCGTCACGCAGAGGGATGGGGAACCCGTAGAGCAGGGCCACACGGAGGTCTGTGGCTGATTCGGGTGGGTTGAGCCTGTGGCTCAGAGATTTTCCGTCTGGTGGCTGTGGAGTCTAAGAAGTAGCCTCGGCCAACATGCAGAGCAGGGCCGACCCAACATGCGGACAAGGCGGGCCCCGGTGCTGTCCTTCAGTGGCCTCAGGAAGCCCCTTGCCTTTTGCCTCCCTCCTCGTGCCCCCACTGACTCCCCACCAATTCCTGGGACCCCAACATATTCCCAATACATGTCTTTTCTCTGGAAAGGGACTCCAGTTCCTGAAAGGACTCAGCCTTCTTATTTACAGGTTGGCAACTCAGGGAGACACATTGAATTTGACTTCTTCCCCAACTTGGGGGTTCTCTAAACCGCCATTAGGGACTCATGAGCGGCTTTCAATGTTTTAGAAGTCCAGCGGAAATTGCTCGTGACCTCGTCACGAGTGCCCAGGCTAACGAGAACGTGACCCTCTTGGCTGCCCTGGTCACGTCCTCAGTTCAGGGACACTGTTGGCACCTTGCTGATGGCCAGGGCTGGATGGAAGCTTTCCTCACTGCTCTCTTCACCCCTGGCCTGAGCCAAAGGATCGCTCCGGGTCCCTCACAGCACCCCTTCCTTTGTGTTCAGTCCTTGCTCGATTGGGTTTCGGCCAGGGGACAGAAGCAGGAGGAAAAGGCAAGTAGGGGCTTCTCGTGTATTTGTTTTTAAGAAGAAGGTAGTGGAGGGGCGCCTGGGTGGCTCCGTCGTTAAGCGTCTGCCTTCGGCTCAGGTCATGATCTCAGGGTCCTGGGATCGAGCCCCGCGTCGGGCTCCCTGCTCCGCGGGAGGCCTGCTTCTCCCTCTCCCACTCCCCCTGCTTGTGTTCCCTCTCTTGCTGTGTCTCTCTCTGTCAAATAAATAAAATCTTAAAAAAAAAAAAAAGAAGGTAGTGGAATGATCTAGGCTTTTGGACCCTGTGTCTCCCCCACCCCCATTGACAGTCTCTCTATTCTCAGCTGGGGAGAGGGAGTAGGAACCAGGGTCCCAGCTCAAAGTGAGCCCACCTTGTGGCGACATGACAGCCTGGCATTGGGGCTGATATGAGGCATGGCACCTGCTGGGAAGCAGTGGCCGCAGACAGGACAGGGTCAGCTTGCAGCCACCGAGGAGGACAGCTTCACAGAGCTTCTCGCTGCTGCCCACCTACCCGAGGCTCCTCTCGGCCACCAGAGCCTTTCTAGACAGCAGTGACGCTCACCTCATCGCGCTCCTGTGTGCAGGAGGCAGGGGCCCAGAGGGATGCTTGTCCCTCCCCGGCACGCTCGTGGGCTTCTGTGCATGTGCACACGCACGCACATGCACAGTGATGCTCGAGGAGACCATGTGTCCGGGTCCAACAACATAGGTGACCTGGGGCGGGCCCTGGACGGGGTCCAGTCCCTGTCTAATATGCAAGCCATCAGAGGGAATGAACTTGACCAAGGGGGCCAGGGAGACCCATGAGAGCTGGCCAGGCCTGCAGACTAAATCTGCTTGCATGGCAAGTGAGCAGGCCCCTTCCAGCTTCTCCCCAGCTGAGAGGCTCACTTCCCATCTGCTTCCCCAGCCCACTCCAGTCTCGCCATCTTGGGACCCCCAGAGGCCAGCTTTCCCAGGTACTTTTTAGGCTCGCCCACTCGCCCGCCCCGCCAAGTTTTCTAGGCAGAAGAGTGGATGAGATCGGATGAATGGTTTGTGTCATCAAAGCATTTACTTCTTGATGGCTCCACACTGGGCAACCTGATACCTTCCACTCCTCTGAATCATAAGATGGAAGTCTTTTTGCTTTTGGAGGAAAGAGTGTCCCACTCTGCATTTGGGGATGGGGACAAATTAGCTGGTCCACGTGCAGAAACACTGTCACTCTGGAGTGAGATGGGCTGGGGGTCTGGGTAACGGTAGCAGTGTGTGTCTTGGCTTCCGACGCTCAGCTGGGAGCCTGAGGGCCAGCCGGAGGGGGCCCCTTGCCCCTGACCCCTCACCACACTCAGCCTCTGCTGCAGCCAGCACGGGGTGATGCCTGCAGCAGGACGTGCAAACTGAGCCATGCTTCGTGGCAAATGGTGCGGGGATGCTGGCTGACCATAGGCAGGCAGCTTTCAGGGGAATGCAGTCCGAGCCCACTTGTCTGAGCCTGGCTCTCGCTTGTAGCCATGGGTAGGCAAGGCAAGGTCTGTTCAAAGAATAGGTGGACAGACCAAAAAAGGTAGACAGGACCTCGATCAGTGTGGTCAGTGCGTTTCCTAATAGGGCTCCTCCTTCCTCTCCTTCTCCCCATGACTAATGTCAGCTCCAGCACGCACAGTAGGTTGAAAGACATCTGATGAACTGATGGTCTGAGATTTCCCTGCAGAGGAGGCAAAAAGCAACAGAAGGTAGCCGTAGATACAACTCCTTTATTGTCATGCCACTCAGCAGGTGAGGCCAGGCTGAGCAGAGGGGCATGTTCACAACTACATAGCAACTTCTCTATATGCAGTAGGTAAGGCAACTTCTCAGTTTCCACAATATTGTGACGACCCATATCCACGGGCCAGCTGGTTCCAGAAGCCCATCAGGCCTAATAATGGGCTGCCTGGAATTGCTAGCGGCACTTGCACGGGGGGTCTTGGGGGCAGAAGCAAGAGGGGAAGGGGGCACATGGGAGGCTGGGGGATGGAGTACAGGCGGGGCGGGGCCATCGTGCTAAACTAGAAAGTGGGGCGACGAGAATGGAGCTGGACTCTCCCAAGGCACACGGAAGGTGGTCGGAAGCTAATCTGTTCCCTTCCAGGAAGAGGACCCAGGCACCTGGTCTCCCAGCCACGGTCACAGACCCACGCAGAGGGCAGAGCGGGTGCTGTAAGAAGGCATGGCAGGAGAGGCGCGTCCCTGGCCCGCCCTTGAGCGGTGAATGGGCTGGGCCCCAGCCAGACATCTTGAAGGATGCTGAGGGTTGACGCGCCTACAAAGGAAGGTGGCCAAGCGTCCTTGGTGGGGTGGTTTGAAGCAGCGGTTCTCAAAGGGTGGGTCCGGGGCCAGCAGCACCAACATCACCTGGGAACTTGTTAGAAACGCAAGTCCTCCGCCCTGCCCCTGCAGAGGTGACGCTCAGGGGGTGACCCTCCGGGCGACCTGATGCATCGTCAAGTTTGACAACTTCTGGTTCCACCACATCACTAGCATCCTCCGCGATGTGAGCGCCACCCAGCAGTGACATAGAAGACACGTTTTCTCTTTAGCTAGTCAACCGCCTTCCCCTACTCCTCCCCTTCTCTCCCCAGGCCCCAAGTGGCCAAAAGTGGAGAGTGTTTGCAAGGTGGAAAGTGGGGTGGGGGGTGATGAAGGTATCTCAGTTCACTTCCTCTATCTCCAAACCCCGGGACAGGCCAGAGTGGCCGATTCTCAGACCCAAACTGGCTGCAGGGCACAAGGATCCTGGGGGCACCCCCTCCCGCAAGTGCAGCGCTGGCCCTTCCAGACCTAAGTGCCTGTGGCCGTGCACGTGCACGGGCTGAGCGGCCTGATGAGATTCCAGGCCGTCAGCTCTGTGAAATAGAGACCACGCTGTGGCCACCACCCCCCGAGCCCCGCATCAGCAAGACAGGGTAGCGAACGGTAGCTGGAGGTGGTTAACATGCCCCCCGCCACCCCACGGAGCCTCCTCCCCACCCAGGGTGGCTGTGAGTGCTTGTGACCTGAGACTTTTCTCCTGGGCCCCACATGGGGCAAGGAGAGGGGTTCCCCGCACTCTCGCCAGCCCTGCGTGCCCCCAGATGTGATCTCCACCGGGGCATGAGATTCCACACGCCGTGTTCGGGTTCCCATTGCTGAGGTCTGGTCTGCTCTCACTCGGTGTCAGCGCTGGCACCCGAGGTGATGGGCTGGCCCCTGCCCTGAGCGGTGGTCCCCGGGGCCCCTGCCTGCAGCCTGAGCCACCACACCGCCTGGCTGTCAGGGGGAAAGAAGCCAGGCCTCTCTGCTGGGTGCAGATGCGCAGGGCTCACGGGCGCCGCGGCTGATGGATGGTTCCAGCCGCTCTGGGAAGGGGGGCCAGGCCGCTGCTATTGGACAGTGCCCCTCGAGGGCCACGCTGTTCCTGAACATCAGCCTGACAGCTTACTGCGCAGATGGAGAGCCGGAGGACGCCGAGCAGCGGGGGCTCCCAGCTCCCCTTGCTTCCACCCGGTCGGGGTGCAGGACAGCAGCCACGGCCACTGACCGGCCAATCTCTTAACAGCTCTGAGCCTTAATTTTGTCGCCTGTGGAGTGGGACAATAGTACCTTCTTGCAGCGATCGCTATGAGAGAAAGCACTTAGGGGACTAACACATTCTGAGCACACAGTCGGCCCTCAGTGACCACCAGGCCCTGGACGCTCCCCTGTGGCGAGGCCAGAGGGGCCCCTAGACTTGGGGCAAGGCTGTTGGGAGGGGTAGGGAGAAGAAAGGAGAGGTCATGAACATTTTAAGCAAGCCTTATCCCCTCACCAAAGGCCGAGTTTCATTCCTGCTTCCCCAGGAAAAGGAACGAGTGAAATGAACAAAACGGGTCATCCCGAGTGGGGACAGGCCATCCCTCTCAGGGTGGCTGCCCCAGCGCACGGGCAGAGGGAAGGGCGAGGATGGGTGACTCCGGCTTGTGGCTTCCAGCAGCTGCCGTGGCCCGACCTCGACAGAATGCTGGCTTTTCTGGGTCCCGGTGTGCTCACACACCCGCTGCGGGCGGCGTGCGACAGTCCTGCGCGCCCTTCTCCCTCTCCCCGAGGAACGCGCGAGCACCACTGCCTCCACGCAGCGCCCTGGGCGCAGATCCGCATCCTCTCAGGCCAGGCGGGCACCTCCTGGGCTCCAGACTCCCGCCTTCGGCGTGTCCCGAGCCGGAGCCCGCCGTATATCCTGGGCCTCCGTTCCCTCTAACCCTGCCTCCCGTCCCGGGCTGTGGGCACGAACAAGCAGATCAGCGTTGTCTAAAGCTCTGGGCCCTTCTGTCTCTGCAGCTTGGACCATCCGTCCTCCAGCAGCCGTCGGGGTGGGACGGTGCCCAGGGTAGAATCACAGCTAATCCCGCCCTCCACCCGGGCGGCCTAACCCCACGCGGGGGCCGGTCACCCTGTCCCACCTCCACAAGCCCCACTGACCTCAGTCAAGAGTGCGGTGACTCCAGCAGGGGTTGGCAGGTACCACAGGACCCGGCCCCTCCCCGGGCATCACTGCCTCCCGCGGGCCCCTCCAAGGAAGAACACGGCTCTCCTTCAGCCCTCCCTTGGTAAGACCCAGCAGTCTGCCGCCTAGCCCTGCAGAGAGCTTGGGGGTCCATCATTTCTCGATTGTCTGCATGACTCCCAGGAAGTTGGAGGGCACCAAAGATAGTCCCAGTACCGTTTCTTCCGGCCTTGGTGCAGTCCAGGATTGCTGGAAAGCTGGTCTCCCTGTTAATGAGTCTGCATCAGCAACCCCAGGGCCCTGAGGGTAGAGCGGATAAGCCAGCCGGGGTTCCGGTAGCCCCTGGAGGACCCCCTTGGTCGGGGAGGCCACCTGCCCTGGGAAGCTGGTCTTCCCTCTGCGCGTGGGCGTAATCTGTGTTCTGAGGGGGCACAGTGTCTGTCCAGTTGGGGGCTGTTTGGGGGCAGCAGTGACCTGTGTGTGGGAGAGAACACCCTTCACCCAGGACTGACACAGGTTACCAAGAGCTGCGCTCATCACACTGGGGCCTGGAATGAGTTGGGAGGCAAGGTGTGGCCTTTCTTGGCTTGATCTTATCAACAAGGGGCCACCCTCTCATGGTGGGGTGTAAGAGGGTCCCCAGCAGGGCAGCACGGGACCTGGAAGGTACGGGAGCCGGGTGTGGATTTCTCTGGCTCCGGGCTACCCACTTGGAACAGCTACTTGGGGGGCAGGGGGTCCCTGTGGCTGACTTCCAGGTTAACACTTGTTCTTTGGAAAACCGCCAGAGTCTGTACTCTGCATTTTCCAGGGTTTTCTTTTTGTTCCGTTCTCCCTTAGTATTTGAGAAAGTTCTTCCTGAAAAATCCCCTGCCTGATTCAGAGAAGCAAGGGAGAACCAAAGAAAGGGACTGTATTCACTCTGGGAAGCGGAGCGAGGGCTCCTGGAGGCGGCTCAGTGGTGGCCATGTGGTCAGGGACTGTGGGCCCAGGAAAAACGGGTTTCAGGACAGAGCACCCCTCTACTCAGAGCTGCACCTTCTCCATGGCTCCAGCTTTGCAGGGTCTGTGATATGGCCTAATCAGGAAGGGGTTTTCACTCCCACCAACATTAAGAGCTGGAGATCATTTTAAAAACCTGGCACTCCTGAGAATCAGGCCATAGAGAGGAGATCCCTGAGGGGCCTATTAACTGCGGACTGGGGCTCAAGGCCATGGTCTCCTGGGGGACCTCTCCCCAGGGATGGCTTCTGGGCAGTGCACAGGGTCCTGGGGCAGCATGCGGTGTGGTGGCCACCTTACCTGCCTTGGTCCCCTCCCTGGCAGTGCCACGAGCCCACCACTGCCCAACCCCAGCTCCAGGGTCCTCACCCCAGACCTCTCCACTGCCGGGCCCTGAGGGAAGGAACCAGGCCATCAAGGACACTCCCTTCCAGGTGAGAAGGTGTGGGGGTGGGCACATCAAAGGACTGGGTCTTCTGGGGGCAGAGCTGACCCTAACTGCCCCACCCTAAGTATCTCCCAGTGGGGAGAGAAAAGGACACCAAGCAGAACAAGAGGAGGGGTGCTCAGCACCAATGGGGAGCTCACGGGCCCAATGCAAGGAGGAGTCCCAGAGGGGCTGGGGTCTTCAGACCTTCATTTTCGTTTCCGAAGCTGGGAGGGAGCAGAGGGTCTGATTGTCACCCTCCTGCAGTCCACGGGCCCCCCACTGCTGGTGAGGGGTGCTGGCGGATGGGTCCCCTGCTCGGGGATCCTGGCACTGAGCACTTGGAAGTGGAGGGAGGGGGCTGAGGGCCCCCGGCCTGGGTGGGAACCACAGGAGTCAGGGTCTTGGGCACCTGGCGGGCCTGAAGGGGCTGGGCACAGAGTAGGGGCAGTTTCTGGGAGTTTCTAGGCAAGCTGGGGCTGACTCTGCAGGCCTGGAAGATGGGATCTGGGCACCTGTCCTTGTGAGGGGCTGTTGGAGGGGGACGCAGTTGGCCATTAGTAAAAATGCAGCTGGAGCCTCCGGTGCAAGCAGCAGGTGAGAACCATCCCGCAGATCTGCCAGGTGGAGAGAGCAGAGGAGCAAAGAGGTCAGGAGCCCAGGAAGTTGCTGTCCCGGGAGTGCCCCGGAGCAGGCTGGTCACACTTGGGTGCACATGGGGACCTTGACAAAGGGCAGATTCCAACTTAGGAGGTCTGGGGGTGGGGCCCGAGATCCTGCCTTTCTAACAAGCAGTCCACTATGGGTCTGTGGCCCTAGATCTCCACAGATGGCCCAATTTAATTAGATCCTGAGGGGTCGTAGTCCCACTCCCTCATTGCTGTCTGAAGCTCTCTTTCTCTAGGAGAGATTTTGTGTCTTGCTGCTCTCAGACTCCAGAGCAAAACTAAGGTTCGTAGTCGATTCTCTGGCTGATGTACAGAAGCCGCTGGGGAAACCGAGGCTCTCAGAGGCCGTCACCCTGTAAGCCAGCGTGGAGCGCGGCACCAGCCCCAGCCCCAGCCCCAGCCCCAGCCCCAGGAGCCGGCCTGACAGCCCCTCTGTCACATCCCCTAGCTGAACAAGGAGGCGCTAGAGCATCCTGCCCAAAGCAGGGTAGTCCTGGAAAATCACCGTCCCCCTGTGGTGCCTCACTTTGCCGACCTCTGAAATGCAGGACAAGAAGCTGGGGTTGTGTTACACCCAGGAGGCCCATGACGGTGATCTTGCTGAGACACAAGGCCATTGGGCCCGACCCCCTGCACATAGGATGGAGGCGCCGTGAGGGCAGCCCCATGACTGTCCTGTGGCGCATGGGCAAAGGCGGATTTCCCCGAGACGGGGAACAGGCCCCCATAGTTCCCAAACTTTTCCAATAGGTGCTGCTGACCGGATCTTGCCAGAGCACATTTGGGTGCCCCCGGAGCTCTGAGCGGTGGGGGCAGGTCAGGCTGATGAGGACGCCTATGCGCTCGCAGCCGCTCAGTTTCTCTTTGCAAGGCCAGCTTGAGGAGGTGGCAGAGGATGAGCACTTCTTCTTGCCCCTGCCACCCTGCTCTCCATCCCCACGTGGGAGTACAGTGGAGCCCTGGGAACACAGCTTTCAGCTTTCAGACTCGGCACTAAGAGCAGCGCTAGTCCACATCCGGACTCAGCACCACAAGCTGAAGGAGGCCTGAGGAGTTATCTCGTCTCCCACTGGCTTTGAGCAGGGGCCATTGTGGCCATTTTCCACCCAGGGGTCGTGCGGCACGCCCCCTTCCCCTCTCCCTACCTTGTGGTTTGATGGCTAACCTGTGGGGTCAGCTGGATCTTTCTGGTTCTTGCTGAGGGGGAGGCCACAGGGGAAGCATTGGCCCAGCACAGACTTGTGGCCACATCTCCTACAGAGTATGGTCTGTGCCAGGGCACCGGGGGAGTGGACCTTCCTCCCAGGGAAGGCAGGTGAGGGGGCAGGTGTATGGGCCAGAATCTCACCGATGCATGTCCACACACACCGCCCCCCGCCCCAACACATGCAGAGGGACCAAGGATGCACACTCATCAACATACATGTGCACACACACACAAGCACCCTGATTCATACAGAGGAGTACTGGATGCCATCTGATCTCTGAGCGAGCACCAGCATCTCCTTCCTGATGGAGGACATAGAGAAGTCAGCACCGAGGGCTTCGGGTGGCCAGCCCAGGGTGAGCAGAGAGAACAGGCGATGAGCTGAGCGCAGGAGCAGGGAATGGGGGCGTGGCCCAGCGCGCGAGGGCCAGGGCTGCACGGTGCACGGCGCCCTCTTCTGCCAGCCTGCCTAGGTGCAGCATTTGCCACCGACGGGGCCCTTTGAACAGGGAGGGGGCATGCTTTCAGCTTCTTTTGAGGTTTTTGGGCTAACACCTGATTGTTATTAAGAGCATCAAGGAAGGGCCAGCGAGGTCCCAGGAAGCCAATCCAATATGATCTTTCAGTTTCCCTTTTAATGATCTGCAGATCCCAATGTTGGCCGTCCCGTGAGTTTTCGGGGCTCTGCAACATGTTTCTGTTCTACAGTCTGGAAACATCAGAGTGGGAGTAAGGCAGCTTCTGTGTGGGGCTGTGTGACCTTGGCCACAGTTATAGCCCTCTCTGAGCCTCAAAGCTCCCTCTATCAATAGGAAAACCTCCGGTCTGTTCACTGGTTGACAGCTTTCCCTGGAGAGATTTTTTTTTTTTTTTTTTAAACTGGGATGATAGGGACCAACTCATGGTTCCCCTCCCGCACCCTGAGCCTTTGAGAGGCCAGGCCGCGGCTCTCCCAAGCCCTCAGGATAAAGCCCGCCCCCACACAGCAGCCAGCCAAGGCTTTGCAAACCCAATTTCCTCACCCTGTCACTCTTCCCGGTCTTGATTCTTCTTGTCAAACTCCTTCAAGGTTTAATTATCTATCACTTCCCCCAGGAAGCCTTTCCTGACTGCCCGACAGGTTATGGCCTGCTCTGTGCTCCCCCAAGCCCCAGTTCTTACACTTGCCCAGGGCCCCTGACTGCATGCGACAACCACGTTCCATGTGTCTCCTCCCCTGAGGGAAAGGCTGCTGGGAGAAGGGGGCACACCCTGCCCTCTGGTGGCCCCAGCACTGGGCACAGAGCAGCTCTCATTACGAAGTTGACAGAGAATGTTCTCCCTTCAGCCTCCTCTGCGTGGCCTCTGGGTGGAGGCTTCCCGAGGGCGTGTGAGCAGGGCAGTAGGAAAGGGAGCTGAGCCACTCCATCCTTTCTGGACAGAAGTTTCCCTGCCCGAGTAGGCTAGAAATGAGCTTCCAAAGTTGCTTCAGTGTGGAGGGCCTCCAGAGTCCGCCCACAAGAGGGGAAGCTGGAGCTGGGGTCCTAGCTGGCTCTGCCATGGTGGCTCTGTGGCCGCTAGCAGGTGACCACATGGTGGGGCTAAGTGTCTTCAGAGGTATATGAACAGGGTGGGTCCAGTGTTCTCTACCCCAGGTGCACACGGGGATCGCCTGGAGGGCTTTAAAGAGCACCCATGCCCAGGCCTCATCCCAGTCTGAGCCTGATCCTGTGCAGTTGGGCCTGACTGTCCTGTGCAGCCAGGGCTGACAGCACTGGCCTAGCTAGCTTGGGAGAACCTTCCAGAAGGAAGAGTCTGTGATTTGGAGGTACCTCAAGACCCCAGTTACCCCTTTCAGGTCTGAAAATCCTGAGTAGTGAGTCATATGCCCGAGGCGGACAGAGGGGTCCTGCAGGGTCTTGCTGAAAGGAACAGGTGCACGCCCAGAATGCACAGCGGCAGCGCGGGAGGGACATTGCAGCCTACCGCGGGCAGGATGCCCTGCTGCAGGGTCGCGGCCAGCCCCTAAGCTGCAACCTGCAGCCACACACAGCTTTGTGCTCCGCAGGGACCGCTGCTAGAAAATTCCAGTTGTTCAATACTCCCATCTGTCTCCTCGTAAATTCCGCCTGTGGCTCCTGTCTGTTCTCTGGTCCCTCCCGGGAATGTCCCCTTGCTCCCCCACACGCCTGCCTTCAGGTGTTTAAGGACTGTGATGGTGCCATGTTCTCCATGGCCCCTGACCTCTCCCTCATCTGACTTCCCGGCGCCCCGTGGCTCCTGTCACTCACGTGGGCCAGTGTTCTCGGTCCGGCTGCACACGGGACCCACCAGGGAGCTTTACAGGGATGCTGGCGCCTGGGTGCCAAGCCCCAATGTGATTTGGCGGTGCTGGGGTGTAGCCTCGCTAGTTCTAAGGCTCGCCTGGTGGCCCCCATGGGCAGCTAAGGTTGAAGCCTGCTGTCGTGGAGGTGCTGTGGAGATCCTGTGTCCCTCCAGCCCGCCACCATGTCTCCTAAGCATGTTAGCACTTGGTCCACACATCCACGGGGCCACAAGTGACATGTGGCCAAACCCCAAACAAATCGGGGTTTGTTAGTCACATTTTCTGTTTGGTGTACCCAGCATTCACAAGACGTGCTTTCACGTTCTAGAATATTGTAGCACATGAGGCTCACTGAGGCAGGGTCTTACCAAAAATCATGGAAGCTTAGAGTCCCAACTCCTGCTTCAACCCGAGCAGCTCCTCCCCATGTTTAATAGCCCGGCTCCTAGGTAAGATTTCCACGGATTAGAGAAGTCTGCCTCTTCACCGAAGGCTCGAAAATGTCCAGCTCCTCCATTTTATAGGAAAGGAACCCGAGGCTCAGAGAGGGGACGTGACTTCCTCAAGGTCACATAAGGAGGGAGGCCCTCTGACTTCATAGCAAGGTCTCCTCTGGTCCTGGGCACCAGGGAAGCAAACTCTCTTGAGCCTTGGGGGTCTTGGAAGGGCCAGGCTGGCCATGTGTGGGGAAGGTGCCTGGTGCCCACTCTGGTGGACGAGGGCTGGGAGCCTGGGCACAGGCCTGGCCTGAGCCCTTCCTCCCGGCTGGTGGCCGACCCGGACTTGGGCAGCCTAGTTCCAGCATCGGCCAGCAGAGGGAGCTGTGACCGAGGCTTGGCTGCTGCAGGGCCAGCCCGAGCGGGAAGGAGGGGAGAGGCCGGGCAACCCGGGGGGGGGGGGCGGGCGGGCTCCTGGTCTGCCTTCCAACCAGCGGTGGTGGGGGGGGCACCCTCTGCTCTGGCCAGGGAACAACTTTCTGAGAAGGCTTTTTCCGGAGACAACGTGCCCACGTGGAAATGAATCCAATGATGATGGGTGCCATTTATTGAACACCTGCTATCTGCTTAGCAATGAGCCAAGTGATTTACATATATATTGCTAATCCTCTCACCAAACTAGGGATAATTAGCCCCATTTTACAAACAAGGAACTGAGGCCCAGAGACAGCATAACCAGCCCTGGGTTGCCGGGTCCGCCCCTCCAGCGGGTAGAGCCCCGTAGGCGAGGCTGCAGCTAGATCCTGTGGGCGCACAGGCGGATGTGGCCAGGCCGCAGTGATCTGGAAGGAACCCCACCCTGGCAGGTTCTCCACACCAACTGCTGCTACTGCCCCTGCTTTGCTTTCCATGGAACTCTCTGTTGTTGGTGGTGGGGTGGGGAGTTGGGCAAAGCAAAAGACCAAGAGCCAGGAGACCTGGGTGCCAGTTCAGGACGTGACACCCTCGGGAAGTCTTTTCTCTGGGTCTCAACTTTCTGATCTGTAAAATGGGAGAACATGGACACTCGCCTGGCACGGGTCTCCGGTTGCGGCGGGGATCCCATGACAGAAAGTACCTGAGACCACTCTGAAGTCTACAGATAGATGGACAACAGCCACGTGCACTTATGGGGAGGCCTTCACGTGTGCCGGCACCGCGAGCAGGTCACGTTCATCACCTCGTTCTTATCTAGACCTTACGTGGCTGGGGACAGAATCCCCGTTTTGTGGATGAAGCAGTGGTGGGGCAGGAGCAGAGGCAGGGGTGGCCCCAGGGCTTCTGATGGCCCGGCTACTGCCCTCACCCCTCCCGTGGTCAGTGCTTGTAGTCCCAGGAGTGGGAAGGGCGGGGCAGCACAGAACTCCCTCTCGCACCGGCTGGGCCCTTGCCCCCTGTGTCTGCCCCACCCCAGGCTGCCCCTCCTGACTCCTCTCTACCGACCCTTGACTGGAGCCACTGTGAGAGCGCCACGGACGTCCTGGGGGACAGCGGGGGGTTGGGTGGAGCACTGAGACGGCAAAGGGCATCGCTCAGAGCAGAGAGCTGGATGTGCAAGGGGGAGCGTACATCCACGGCACGCATGTGTGCGCGTGCACACACACAGAGGAATGAGTGCATGTGCATGCACACACATATACACACATGCACAAGCACACCTAAACGCACATCCGTGCATACAGCCCCACGTACACCTAGATGCATGCGGACGACCACACATACCCCAGCAGGCTGTGCACACACACCCACGTGCACACACAGAGGGTGCATGCACATACCTGAGCCCACACTCACACTCCTCCCGGTCTCTTACAAGTTCAAGTGGGCTCCCGGGCCCCCAGGCATTTTCCTTCATCTTCTCTGGGGAAGAGAGTGACCCTTGATGCACCCTTGGCTGCCGAGGGAAGGTGGGGTGAGGAGGAGGAGAGGTGAAGGCAGGACAGCGCGTGGGCGTGCAGAGGGTCAGTGATTTGCGATCCCCGCCAATGGGAGAGGGGCTCACAGCTCCTCTACGCAAGCCCCTGTCCTAATCCCGCCCCCTCCAACTCACCTGCAGACAGGCCACTCCGATGCCCACCGCCCCCATGAGCAGCAGGTGGTCAGCCAGGAACTGCTCCAGCTTGGTGATGCAGCCTCCCTGTAAGGTAAGGGCAGGTGACACAGGGTGGCCCGGAAGCAGGCAAGGCTGGGGAGGGAAGGGTGCTGCTGTCCGCTCAGCTGAGGCAGGCCAGAGGCTTAAAGGACCTGGTCCAGCCTTTCGGTTGCCCACAGGCTTCTCGGGTGACCCAGAGGCCTGCCATGATGTCCCAGAATCTCCTGGGGCTCTGTGGAGACCAGGGAGGGTCTCATGTTGCCTCATGGCCAGTGCATAAGTGTGTCCTACCCCCCCCCCCCATGCCGCCCCTCTGCCTGAGCCTGCCTCTCACGGGGTGGGGGTGAGGGCTCCTGGATGGCAGGGAGCTCTGGGGACTCACCTCCACCTTGTAGATGTTGGAGGGGTGGGCCCGTTGGCCACAGCGTGCCACCACCGTCTTGCAGCAGCTGTCGGGCACCCGGCGGCCCTCGGCCTCCCGAGACAGGATGTAGGCACTGTGCTGCCAGTCGGCGGAGCTGTTACTCCCACAGCACTTGAACTGGAGGGAGAGACAGAGGCTGAGGGCGAAGAGCGCGTGCTGGGCTCCTCCAGCCCCTCCGTGGCCGGGCCGCAGGACTTATTATTCAGATATTAACCCAACCCCTCTTTGTCCTCCCTGTGAGTTCTCCTCTGCCTGTTGGAGCAAGGAGCTGGTCTCTCTGGGGCTTCTCTCCAGGCAGGTTTGCAGAAGCTGACTGCAAGACACCTTCTGGCCACCCAAGTCCTGTAAGGAGATGATGCTGGGTGTCCTGACGGCAGGGAGGGTCTGTGGGAAGATGGGCAGGGAGTAGATGCAGGTGGGTCCCTGAGAGAGTGGGGCTGTATACCCCTGGGCAGAGCCCAGGGCAGGGCCAAGACCACACGGGGTGGGGGGGTTCCTGGTCACCCAGGGAGGCAGGACCCCAGGGAGGCAGGGTCCCTGGACCCTCATTCAAACCCTGAAGCCTCAGAGCCCTCAGATCTGCAGGGACGCAGAGAGGGTCCCAGAGCCCCAGTGTGGGCAGGTCAGTGTTGACCAGGGGGCAGTGTGGGTGCTGGATAAGACCGGGGGCTTCCGCACCGCTCCAGCGCAGGAAAGCGCCTGCCCGGGGCTCCGGTGATGCAGACACACAGGACGTTGTTTCTCTCTTGCCCTCTGAGTTGAGGGACGGAGACTCCAAGTCCCCATGTGAGCCACAGAGCCAGCTGTTTTGAGGCTGTCTCTGGTGTGTGGGGTGCAGGCAGGGCGGGAATACGCTCAGTACAGTTAACAAGTGTGTGTTAGGCACCTACTATGTGCCAGGACTGAAGCTGGCCCCGGGCTCATGCGTGAGTCCCATGGTTCCCGGCTTTCTGGCGCATCTCAGTAGCTTACTAGGAGAGCCACGGGGAGACATCGGGAGCTGAGTAGCTCAGAGGAGGAGAGGCGAGCGGTTCTGCTCATGGGCCAGGAAAGGTCCCACAAGGAAGAGGAGGAGCCCCGAGGGGGCAGGCAGGATGGAGCAGCACATGGAGCCGGGAACAGCAGGGCGTGTGCCAGGAGTCACGTGGGATTATACTTCTGCGTGTCCCCTGGACAGGTGACAGCCTCTCTGGGCTTCCGTTTTGTCACTTGTCAATGGGGCTAACGGAGTACCTCCCCGCCGGGTTGTGCGAGGACCATGAGAGGTGATTCTGGGAACCCTGGAGAGGAGAGCCCTGCAGGGCTGGGCAGTTAGGAAGAGACACCGTCTACTGCGATGGTCATTTCCTGAATAGAGGCATGTGGGTGCCATTGACCTAGGGGGGTACAGCCCACAGCCCAGATACTGGCCCTGGCCTGAAGCCCACTGCCTTCTCGGGGCTGTTTCCTCAGGCCTAGAATGCAGGCCTGGGCCCAAGGTCCCTCATGCCCCTCTGGTTCTGACTGTTGCTGGCATGTGTGGGCTGGTGGCCACATGCTCTGGGTCCCCACGGAGACCCTGGGCAGCGGCAGACACTGGCTCCCGGCTGTGCCCTTCCTCATGCTGTTCCCCACTCTCTGACTGCCCCTCCCACCCTCTCTACCGAGGCAAACCCGGGCCCTCCTTCCTGGTCCCCCCGGTTGGCCTCCCCAGCTCTTTTCTCCACTCAGAGGGGCCTCCCAGCCTAGCGCTGACTGCAGCTGTGTGGGGCTCCAGGAGTAAGACCCTGAGGGCAGGGATTCAGGCTCCGTTCCTCACCTGTGAGGTCCCACAAGTGCAGACTGAGCTTTGGACAGGGCTGACCAGCAGGGTGCGTGTGCTAAGCGTGTGGGTGTGGGTTGGATGGGTGTGTACCTCTGTGTACACGGGTGCCCTTAGCCACTAGAGCAGCGCACAAGAAACCCCTCTGGGCAGAGCCTACTGGGAGCTAAGCCAGTCTTGGGGGGATGGGGAAGGTGCCTCCCTGTGGAACTAAGATGCCCCTAGGGCTCCGAGCCCCACTAACCTCTGCTCTGCCTCGTTGCCTGGTATTCCTGGCTAAAAAGACCAAGGCCTCAAGCCCTAGGTGGGGTCTGTAGACACAGAGATTGCAGGCGAAGGGTGAGGGCAGGGTGGCAGGGAGAAGGGGGACCGGAGCGGGCAGCTGCTTACATCCTGCTGGAGACGGTCTACTGACGTTGTGAGGTCGGAGGCCCCGGGCTGCCTGTAGTTCTCAGCCAGAGTCCGGCTCAGGTGCTGCTTCAGTTCATCACTGAGCTGGAGAGCAGAGAGGGAAGGTGGCAGAACTGCTCACGCCTATCTTGCTCCCCAGGCCCACTCGGAGCTAACTCTAGAGCACCGTGGATGTTGAATGGTGCGAGGGCAGAGGGGTCTCAGTTAACGGGAGCATCCGTAGGAGACAGCTTGGGACACGGGGTTCACAGAGAGAGGCTGCAAAAGCTGGGGCCCTGACGCAAGGCCAGACAGCTGACAGGCAGAGCTGAGAGGAGGGCTGGGGAGGGGCCGGCTCAAAGCCAGTGGGAGGGCAATGAGGCTGGGCACGAGGCGGGGTGGCTTTTAAATGTTTTTTTCATTTGATTGATGAGGTGATACTCAAAATATTTACAACTGTCACCCTGTGGGCAGCCATTGGTTGTACGGGTGCTGGCTTAAAATAACCAGTGTGGTCATCTGTCTCACCCTGGTCATGGTCTTGAACCCCTGATTCCCAGCACCGGGTGGGAGGGCACCTGACTGGCCACTTCGTCCTCGTCTAATGCAGGCAGGCGAGGCCCGGAGCGGTCTTCCTATTTCGGCAGGCAGCCCTGGCCCCAGCCTTGCTCCTTGGATGCTCGCCATTCGGCTTCATCCTCTATCTCTGCATCGAAGGGGAGATGGGCCACCCACCTCCCATGGGGCGTCCCCACTCCCTGACTCCCACGCTCAGCACATCAGCATCCACAGATGGGGCAGAGAATTGCTGGAAGCGGGACAAGAAGGAGGACCTGGATGTGCCGAGGACTGTTGGGGCCCGGGAGACAAGACACCCCTGTGTGTCACTGCCCTAGCTCCCCCATTCCTGTTCACCCCGCCCCATGCTGTCGCCTCTGCGGGGTGCCGATGGGGAACATAGCAGGAGGACACTTGCACTCACCCTCTGGTAGTACATGTGGGCCAGGACCCCTGCCACCAGCTCAACCAGGAAGATCACCAGCAACAGGCAGAAATACTAGGAGAAAGGAGTGAAGGTGGTCACACCAGGATCAGGTCCATGGAGGCAGATGGTGCTCCAGGTCTTCTAGAACAAATGTCTCCCCCAAGCGGTGGGGAAGGTGGGGCGCCTGCCAGGGACCCCATCATCCATGCTGTCTTCCTCCTCTTCCCAGCAGCTCCAGGTAGACTCGCCTTTCCCGGCTGCTGGCACGGAGCTCCCCACTCACGCCTTCACCCAGTGGTCTACTGTCAGTTTGTTAGTCCATCCACCCACCTCACAGTTATGGGGGGGGGGACAGGTAAGTAAGTGATTACAATGCTGTGTCACAAATGTCACAACAGGGCAAGGCTTAGAAATGATGGGTGGTCCTAGGTGAGGAGGGCAGTCAGAGAAGGCTTCCTGGAGGAGGTGACACCTGAGCGGCATCTCTAAGGAGGAGCTTCCGGGTGAAGAAGGCAGGAGGCATGTGCCAGGCAGAGGGGAGAGCATATGCGAAGCCTGGAGCGCACAGAGGGTAGTGGAGCAGAAGAGGCTGAGAGCCTAGGGGTGGCTGGGCAGCCACTAAGGCTCAGGAAATTGCAAAGGCATCCGCCCGGAGAAAGGCATCGGTGTGTCTTCCAGCCCCTCATGGCCCTGCAGCGGGTTCTAACTTCCTGTCGCCACCACTGCCTGGCCTTGTCCAGGCTCGGGGCTGCTCTGCACGCTTCCCAGCCTGCGCGCTGCTTTCCTGGCTGTGCCCTCGGCTGTGACCCCTCCTGCTCCCGCCGGGCTTCACAGGCAGGAGGCTCCGGGGCGCCGTTCCATCCTGGTGTGTCCTTGCAGGGGCTGACAGGTCAGACATGCGTGTCAGGCCATGTGGCTAGGAGGGGGCGGGGAGGAGGAGAGGAAGCGGGCTCCAGGCAGGGGAGAGGGGACGAGGGAGGGGGGAGAGGAGGAGGAGCAGGGGAGCGTTGCTGCCTGAAACGGCCCCCTCTGGGGAAGCCCAGCCCCTACCCAGGCGCTATGGTTGGGGACACCTCCTTCTCCCCCAGGTACCACCCGTCAGCCTGGCCATGGTCACTGGGATCCCTGGATTGCAGGGGACGCTCAGCCGCTGACGGAGCCCTGAAACTCTAGGGCCCCTCAAGTAGGGAAGGGATGCAGGCAGAAGGGGTGAGAATGAGCAGACAGCTTGCAGGGCGGGGCGTGTGGGGCCAGGTCAGGGGCGATGCAAGTCCACGGGCCCAGGGGCCTTGCCTGACTATCTCCCAGAGCCCAGTGCGGAGCCTGGCATGGGCAGGACTTAAGAAACACAGAGGGAGGAGAGGATGTTCCTTTTCACGAAGAACATTCCATCCAGGGGCCAGGCTTCCTTTCGAGTTATGTCGACTGTGCACCTCGCCCACAGCCGTTTTATTGAGCCCACAGTCTCCCAGTCTCAGAACTGCCCACAATCAGGGGTGAGGGAAGTGTTCCAGGCTCTGAGCGATGGTGGTAGGCCTGCTCTTAACATCTGTAGGTGCCCTTCTTCCCAAGCATGCCACGAGGTGGAGGGGACTGGCCCGCACATGCCAGCCCCACACGGGGGGCAGGAGCTTGGCCATCTTCTGATCCGTGGGTGGCCTGGAATTGTTACTGTAGTTTAATTGATACCAGTCGTTCTCAACCTGGCACAATTTTGTCCCCAGGGGACATCTGGCACTGTCTGGAGACATTTTTTTATTGTCACACCTGGGGAAGGAGGCCTCCTGGCATCTAGTGGGGAGAAGCCAAGGATGCTGCCGAACATCCCACAGCACACGGGACAGGCCCCGTGGCAAAGAACGATCTGGGCTGCAATGTCACGGGTGCCAAGACTGAGAAACTGATTTACACATTTAACTTCGGATTCTAAGGCTGCTACTGGGACCTGATTTGCATATGTGGCCCTCTGCCCTCCGGGAGACATGAAAAGGAAAATCTGAGGCAGGCTGTCTGGTTCCTGAGAAGCCTGGGACTGAACACAGACAGAAGCACGTGAGGGGCTTACTCTGTGCCTGCCTCGGAGGGGACTCTGTAGTAGGAAGTGGCCCTCCCTGACCCTAGGAAGGACCGGGGAAACCTTCAGGGCTTCGGTTCCCAGGCCCTTGGGCGCCGGGGCTGTCGTGGGGATGCTATTAGCCCAGCTGCATCCTGAGATGTCACAGCTGGGTATCCCCTGGCTTCCCCCGTGGGAGCCGGGGAGGGCTGGGCCGCCATGGTTCCAGGAAGCATGAAGACAGCTCGGGAGGTGACAGACCTCAGACACCCTGGGTGTAGTTTGGAGAGGTCCCGTTTCAATGTAAGTCAGGATTTACTGGGCCCCAGGCTATCCAGCTTTCCCCGGCTAACCAAGCCTGGGCAGGGACCACCGTTCTCTCCAGGCGGCCACCAAAATTCCTGGCCTACCGCTGAGGAGGCAATAACCCAACTCAGGGTGAGCCTGCCACACCTCTCAAGAGCAGAGGAAACGTCGTTTTCTATAGCCGGGGCGGTGGAAAGGTATCCCTCCCACCAGAGAGCGAGGGAGGGAGCCGAACCCTTCCTTGGCAGCATCAGTGCCTCACTCCGCAGAGTGGCCCAAAGCGCACACACGGGGTGCTCCGTGACAGCAGGGGCCCCCCTCCTGTGAGCACTTCTCACCCTGGGAGATGAGCATGGCATCACTCGTCGGGTGGCCGAGACGTGTGCACGGGGAGGCAAAGTAGCTGGTCTCGGGTCACACGGCAAGAGCATGGCTGAGCCCAGAAGCTGAACCCAGAGAGTCCAGCTGCAGAGTCTGCACACCAACCTGCTGTGTGTATCGTCCCCACTAAACAGCGACGGTGGGGCGGGGGGGGGGGGGGGGCCCCCCGGAAAGGGGGGGGGGGGGGGGGGGGGGGGGGGGCGGCTCACCGTGAACGCCTGGGGTGGATACAGGTAGCTACGTGGCCCAAAGCCCCCAGTGCCACTGGGCAGGCCAGGCGTGCTCCAGCGGCCGCTCCTGGGCAGGCTCCCCTCCGTCCTCAGCAGTGGCTTCTGCCTGCTCGCCCCCCGCCCTTCATGCCTGTGCCGATCATGGCCATGGCTCTAAGCTCAGAGCCCAGCGGCCTCCCCGTCTGTGTGCACACAGCGCCCTGCACACCAGCGGGGCCGCAGGCCTCAGGGCCGTTCTCTGTGCCCCCGCCTGGGACTCGCTGTCCCGACCGTGTCTGTGTCACACGTCGTTGGCCATCAAGTCTCAGCTCAGGCGAGGCCTCCCCAAAGCCCCCCCGTGCCAGAAGTTCCTGACCATGACCTCACTGCGGACATCCTCGTTCTTGAACCTCCCGCGGACTCCTGGGCCTCACGCGTGTCCTGCTGCCCAGGACTATGGGGCCTTTGATCCTCATTTGCCCCCCTGCTCTGACCTGTATCTTGTTCCATCCTCACGGTCCCCGGGGAGACTTGGTGTGAACTGGACCCATCCTGCCCTAACTCCTCCCCAACCTCCAGCCCCACTTCGATTTTTGTGACTGGCTGGCCCCTGCACTCAGGGCTGCACCCCGCCCCCCGTCCTTCCAGAAGCAACCACTGAGGTTTGGTCTGGGAGAAACCAGGAATGAGACTTCTAAAGGAAGTTCTTGTAGCCTTGGCCCCAGAGCCCTCCATAAGAACTAGGCCACTCCACACTCTGCCACAGTGGACCCCAAATATAGAAGGAATCAGTTTGGTAAGCACAGAAGGGGACCCAAACATTCATCTTCCCTCTGTACCATCTACCTTTTTTTTCCGTTAATTTTTCAATGGTACAGTTTGGACTGGAAGCAAAGTCGGATATTTTCTAAAGCTACAGATCCAAAGGGAACCTGGAACAGCACGGCACTGTCTGAACCAAACCAATACTTTCTTTAATGAGGAGCTCTGCAGGAGCTGTGTGGAAACATTTCTCATGGTGCCATTCAGGTGATTAATTAGCAATTCCACCTTCAGATGGACTGATACTGCATCAGCACAAGCTGGACCCCAGCTACAGTTTCTGGGGCAGACTCACGGGGGCTATGAGCCCAGGCAGCTGGGCCCCAGGTGGCGCCCTCCTTGCAGGAAGTTTTAAGAACTTCATATGGTTGGACTTTCGGAACTCCTCATTGGGCTGACTCTGGAGCGTTCCTCCCCTGCACGATCAGGGACCGTTGGAAAACTGAGCAGGCGTGGTGTGCCGGCAGGTGGGGGCCCCCGCCCCTTCTCAGAGCAGCGTGACCAGGGAAGAGGAGCGGAGACTCCAGCTGCTGCCGAGGTTGAGCTGCAGGGAGAAGGGCGGCCAAAGGCTCCCAGCGTGGCTGTGTGAGAGAGGGAGCGTGCCAGTGGCAGGTCGCAGCGGGGTCAGGGAGCTGCAAGCAGCCAAGGCCAAACAGGAAAAGATGGAGCCAGCCGGTGAAGCGGCAAGGACCTCGGGGCACATTATTCTCTGACTGTTAACCACCGGCCGGAGGCAGGCAGGGCTCAGAGGTGCCGCTGCCCGACTTGTTCGTGCAGAAAAGAGGATGTGGGCTTGAGAGCCTCAAGCCATTCCTGTAAGGAGAGGTCACTGTTGGGAGGAGGATGACGACCTCTACCCCTGCAGGCCCCGGCCCAGGGCTCACAGCCCCCGCCACCCAGCCCCTCCACCTGGGGGGCAGGATGATGCCAGGCTCCTCAGGGGTCGCGGCCCAGGGAACTTGGGACAGGCTGCTGCCTGCAGGATTGGGCACGGGGGAAATGGCTGACGGCTGCCCCCGGCTGTCCCCCAGAAGGACCTGGACGTTCCCGTTGGTGTCTTCTCCCAGGCTGTGGGAGAGATGGGGTGCAGCCCGTAGGCACCCGTGCAGGTGCCAGGAACAAATGAGACAGTGCATGGGGCCAAGGCAGGACCACGGATGGGACTGGTGATGGGTCCCCGGCGACGGTAATTCTAGGACCGGGTTGGCTACAGGGGAAGGCTGAGCAGGAGAAATTCCTACCAAGCCTGGGGGTAAGGAAAATTCCTGGGGTTCAGAGAGGTCAGAGGCTCTGACCAGATG